CTCAGTTTTTCCTTTATCCCAAAAGAAAGAAAATATAAAAGGAGGCTTTAAAGAGTGTGTAGAAAAATGTATTGGAAAGAATGGAATTTTTCTACTTTTTGAAACTTCATGTGTGTGTTTTGGTTTTGCCAAGATGCTATAATAATTATATAAACAAATAAGAATATATGATAGGTAAAAATATATCTATGAAACGAAGACATTGTATAACTTAATTATAACTTACAACTACCCCCCCCCATTTCTGTGGTTTTCCTTTTCTCTAGCTAACTGGTAGGTGTTTATGCAACCAGTATGCTATCAAATTGGAATCATTTTTCCAACTTCATTTTCACAACTGTTGCTTCAGTCAGGCTGCCAACCACTAAGTGCATATGATCAATATTATCACTAAGAAAAATTTGATAGCTGATAACATAACTGATATTCCCATCTTCATCCTAGCTAAATGAACTTTATTTCACTTGAACATTGTGTAGCTGTCAGCTACTTACATCTGAAATCCAAACGCCTTTGCCAATATCTCAAGGGTACTCATCAGGTGAACTTCAAATCCACGTGGTTTTCCTCTCAACAGGTGTGCACCCTCGTTCTATTTAAGCCGTTGTCCTTTCTACCACTCACTTTTCTACCAAACCCAGGTTGTTTCCAGTTCACAGGGACCATATAGACAGAATAGAACTGCTCTCATGGTTTTACAGGAAGTACATCTTTAAGGGAGGAAGCAGCTTCTTCTTTCTCCTGCTGGGTAACTAGTGGATTTGAACCACCAATCTTCTGGTTAGTACTCCAATGCATAACCCACCACTTCACCAGCAGGGCTCTCACTATTCTAGACCATCATGTGTATTCCTTTTGCAACAACTAGCCCTTCTTGCTCCTACGTGTTTAAAAAAAAGGTGCTTCCTCCTTAGAATAACCGGTCTGTTTTCTTTAATGATTCCATCTCCACTCACGTTTGAAGGCCTACTCCAGCTCTGTCTTGTCTATGAAAACATACTTGAATGCACTGCCTCATTTCTTCTCCTAATACCTGTAAGGATGACGTACAATTGTAATATACTTAAAGTGTAATCATTTGTGTTTATCAATCTTGATTTGGTGAAGACACTATATTTACACATTTTCTATCCTCCCTTCCTGCAACTGTTAAATTCCACAGTGTGTAGTAGGAAGTCATCATTTGTCGTTTTCCTAGCTAATATAATATTTACTTGATGAGATTAATCTACTTACAATTTTAAGTATTATTTAGCAAACAAGTGTCTTTTGCCTGGTCTTTCTGAGCAATTTCTATGCACTCTGTGATTTGATCATCACATCAGTTCTTATGGAAACAGTTGTATGGATCCCACAATTTACACTCTGTGAAATTGAGGTCTAAGCAGTAGATTGGGGTTGCATAGCTCAGAGAAGAGAGTGGAATTCAGGCCTGCCTCGGTCTGCTTTTCCTGTTCGGAACTATTCCACTGAAGGTAGAATGCATGATCTCGCAGGAGCTTGATTGTCTGAAGAGACAGCGAAGTCGGCTTCTGCAACAAATGGAGCCAAAATTGAGAGTCATGTCTGTGTATGAGGAGGCTTCAAGAAGTTCATGGAAATTTTGGGTTGTGAGATAAAAATAAACTTTATTTTCCGTCATAAGCTTCAAGTGCAAGATACTTTTATAAGTGATGCTCCCAAGCATTTCTAGTCATGTCACCGAAGTCTGTTTTGCACTCTTCACTGACGAAGAAATGGTGCCCCTTTAAACACTTTTGTAAATTAACAAACCAAAAGAAGTCAGCAGGAGCCAAATCAGGTAGGTGCCTAATGATGTCCCAAATAAACCCTCACAAAATTGCCCTTGTTTGATGAGAGGAATGAATGGTTTTCATGGAAAAATACTCGCTGATGAAGGTTTCCTCGGTGACTTTGTGCTAGTGCTTTACTCTCAGGATAAACAGATGCCAGTGTTCTTTGGCTCTGAGGCAAATCCAACAAGAAAAACACCCCAGCCCTGACCCACCCCAGGCCCCAAATAAACGACATTTGTCAAGACCTTTGTTCGTAACTGTCCCCCTTTTGTTTTGCCTGGAGTATTTCTGCTTCTGGGTAGCCATTGCTTTTGTTGTGCTCCTTCTTCAAGGTTACCCTGGTAAAGTCTTAGTGTCATCTCCTGCTTCAGCCATTCAAAGACGTTGTTTCTAGACCTTGATCTCACTTGTTTAAAACACAAATGTCTACTCTTGCCTGCAGCTCTTCAAGGATGCTACCCTTTTGGCACTCCCTAGGCAGAGGGTTTGCCACTGTGGGCCCCATAAGCAACATTGCCTAGCCCTTTCTACGCTGATTTCCCCAGAACCTTTTTTGTAAAGATTTACCATATATTTTATACTTGCCCTTTCCAAATGGATGTTGTGTCCTTCTTGGTGTCTCCAACTGGAACTTGTTTAACCAGCGAGTGTAAGTTTATTACTATTGAAATAGATGCCTAGTGTTTTCATAAAACACATTAAAAGACTCCTTCTACATAGTATGTAAGGCCCCCTAGTGGTGTGGTGGGTTACCCACTGAACTGCTAACTGAAAGGTAAGCAGGGTGAACCCATGAGCTGCACCACAAGAACGACAGCCTGGGCTCACAGGTAATCTGATGTACAACAGAGAGAATCTTTGCCTGTCCCTGTATCATTAGTATAAACTGTGATACACATTTGAACCCATTGTTGTGGGCTCAAATCCATCTCAGATTTGTTTTTGCTCATTTTTGCAGACATTCTGTGATACCAAAATGATGTCGTGCTCTAGTGATTTGTCTTTCTAGTGATTAAATCAGCAATCAGTCTCACTATCCTTGCCTTTATAGAGAACATTCTGGTTGTATATTTTCTCAACAGACTTTTTTGTCTTCTGGTGACCCAAGGTATATTTGGTATACTTCACCAATAGCTTAATTCCAATGCACACGTTTTCTTTGCTTTCTGTTTTTATGGTCCCACATTTGCAAGCATGTGGGGTGGGTGAGGACCACGACTCAAGTCAGACCCATCCTAGCTACTAGAACTGTAAAGAGGTCATTTGGGAGCAGATTTTCCTAGTGCACCATGCCACTTAGTTCTGAGATGGATGTTTCACTGAGCAGTGATTACTGACCCAAGTAGAATGAAACCTTTGACAACCCAGTTTTTCATGATATTGTTTAGTTTTACAGATGGAAGATTTTCATTTTTGTTACTTTCAGGTATAATCCATACAAGGATATAGCATTTTGCCTTTGTTAGCTAGTGCCTCAAGGCATTTAGAGCAAACAAGGCTGCGTATCTGCATAGCACAGGTTGTTATTGAGTCTTCCTCCAATTTTAGAAACTATATGTATGTTTGTATGTATATATATATATAAACATATATATATAAAACCATATGAGCATAAGGCAGACACAAAAGAATCAATGGATAAGAGTCCATCTTAAAAGTATGGGATTCCTTTGCAAAACTCATGATCTAGAAGAGAGGAAATAAAAATACAGTATTTTAGGTCTGGGGAGTATTGAACTAATTCTCAGCACATTAGTTTAAGATAAGAAGCAAGCTGTCCTGCAAGACTAAATGCACAGTTGGTCTGTTCACCTACCACAGTGAGTGACCTCATTCAGCTTCAACCCTTTATATATTATAGTACCGCTCAGGTTGTTTCTATGATTTATAACAACATAAGTGGTTTTCACAGATGTATTTGTCCTAAATGAACTTGCATGATAAAGAAATAAGCTATCATTTGTATCCATTCTTTTAATTTCCTATTTTTATATAGACATACTACTCTTAATATCTTTGTGTAAAGTGTGAGCGATGTATGTGTGTGTTTTGATATACACAGGATTCTGTCATTAGTTTACATGATTTCTTTAATAGACTCTCCTTATTAGGATCTTTAGCTTACCCTGATAAGTTTTATCCTTTAAATTATTCCTTTCAGAGAAATGGCAAGATAATTGAGAGAGCTATCTCACCATACTTCTCCATAAAAGCCCCTTTATTTCCCTTTAGAATTCACAGAATTTCTACTTTGCATAGCAAAACTCTTCATGGAATTTTAAGACAAATGGAAAAGAGGAACTTGGGTAGCAATGGAGATTCCTGTACTATAGTAATTGCCTCCCTAGCTAGGCTTTTAAAGTTTTTTGATATGCTCATTTAAGTCTACACCAAATTTTGTCTTGGTACTATATCATAAAATTTTCTTTATTAAAGTAAAATCTTACTTTAAATTTATAATTCACTCGAATGATTGAGATTTTTTTATTGATTGTTTAATAAGAATTATTATATGATAGCTAAGTGTAAGAGTATGTGCTTTAGACATCTTATGTAAAACCCCAGTCCTCCAGATAATTCAGGTTTGTCTGTGTTTATATATCATGAAGTAAAGTGAACTTCTGGCAAACATCCAGTTAGTTTTCATCCATGTAGGTAAGCTGACCAGATAATGGTCCTCAAATAGCCTCCTTCCAGCCCTTCTCAATGCCTTTATTGTGTTTCAATACAACGAGCCTTCATGAAACAGAAAGTGTTGCAGCTTCCCATTTTAACAGACAGAGAAACCAACTATATGGGACTTGGCCATTATGGACAGTAAGAAATGTATTGCTTGAGCAAAGCTGTATTCCCTTGTTTGTAGCACACTATGTAAGTTTGAAAGCGGTCTCAACCACATAATATGATGTATTTGCTTTTGCTAAGCATTCAGGGAAGAGTCAATGTGCATGGTTCTTGTTTGCTTTTAATCCCTAGGCATGCTGACCCTGAAATTCCCCATATATGGTATCTGTCATGTTCCCCCTGAGAAGTAAGTCATGAAAGTTAGGTGACAGCTTCTTCTTTAAAATACTTCAGAGCACTGAACAAAAGTACCTATAGGAAAAATACCACCTCTGAAAGGTACTTTCTGAGAGGTGCAGTTGTTTTATTACTGATAACTTAAAAAATCTCTCTCTCTTTCTCTTCTTCTGCCTTCTGTAGCAGTTATATGCTGCCCAGCTAGCTGCAATGCAGGTTTCTCCAGGAGGAAAGCTTCCAGGCATACCCCAAGGCAACCTTGGTGCTGCTGTCTCCCCTACCAGCATTCACACAGACAAGAGCACAAGCAGCCCACCACCCAAAAGCAAGGTACTCTGTTCAAGAAGATCCCCGTCTTACCATTTAGAATTTTTCTTTTTCTTTAGTATAACTTATTGAATATCAATTTTGTGCCAGCAACTAATCCCCATCTGCACAGAACTGAGTCAATTAGATGCAATAAGGGATACATATAAATGGCCAGACACACATTTTGTCATCGCTTTATTCAACAAGCGTGCACTGATAGCTATTGTGGGGATGTGTACTGTAAAAAGATTAATCAGATGAGTATCTTGTATCCAGTTATCTTAGAAGTAGATATTTAGAAAGTAGACATTTATTTTAAAAATAACCATACTATCTGATACCAAATCGTACATTATAGGAAAAATTACAGATAAAAGTGTTATTTCATGAGAAAAGGGCACCTGAAATGGACAGGGATGAGTAGAATTAGGACTCATAGAAGATACCTTATTTAACTCTTAGTAATTGTTATACTATGGCCAATACTGGGTAGAGCACCCATCTAGTGGCATGGTCCTGTAGAGATAAGGATATAAGAATATCGCCAGGGGGTAGACCACTCAGAAATAGGTTTGCTGATGAAGCCAAGGAAACATTTCCTGATAGACTCTGGAAGGGGATCAGCAAAGAGTCAGTCAATAGCTATCTCTTGGCTTAGATGGAGAGAAATGCAGTAAAACTGAGTTTAAGTGATTTATGTGTTTGTTAAAAGCTTATTTAAATGGTGTCCTGTGGACGCCATACTAAACTTTCTATGAATAAAATAATCTTAAAGTGCCGGTCCCTAAAATCGCTCAGGGAATTTATTTACAAGGAAGCTTAGGAGGGGTTTCACAAAATTTGTGTAAACTTTCCATCGTCTTGTCATTCCATTTTTCCATAAAATGTATAGAATTTAGAATATGGAGTCTATTTTCTGATTAATAAATATTTAGTAGCAAGCTGATGATATAGTTAAATTTCCACCAGAATAATAATACTTTGTCTTCTGCTGAATTGCCTAGAAAGTTGATTCTGCTGTCCATGTTGAAATATCGAAAATGTAAGAGAATTAGAGTCATCACAAAAAGTTGGAAAAGATCTTATAAAAAGACAAATATTACGAAATAATGAAAAATCACACCCTAAGTTTGTTTTATCCTTCTCCAGATTCTGTTATCTCTCCCGTGTGTTTTTGCTTTATTACTGCAGAGGAGGAATGGGGAAAGAGAAGGGGTTAGTTAAGAGTCTGAAGTCTAGTTTCCACCTCTCCAGAATGCCTAAGTAACTAGATATGCTTTTGGTTTTTAACATAACCTGGCTTAATGTTTGAGGAAGAAATAAAAATCTATTCAATGACCTTATGGTAAAGCTTTAAGGTCACCAGCGATAAATAAAGATGCATAGGACAACAACATCTTGTACACCCTCCTGTGACTTCAGCACCCCTGTGCTGCTGTGGAATAAGCATTGGCCGATTAACAAGAAGCCAGTGGTTCAAACCCACTATCTACTCCAGGGCTTCTGCCTCAAAAAGATTATAGTTTCCACAGCTCTGAGGTGCAATTCTACCCAGTCCTTTAGGGTCACTATGAGTCACCATCCACTCGATGGCTATGAGTTTTGGATAGGGTCTCTCTGTATAGGATTTACTTGACGACACTGTTTTGTTTGTTTGTGTTTTGTTATGGCATCAGAGAGTACAAATACATCATGTTGATGTTTTTAGATCCTAGAGTTCAGCTTTTCAGTGGACCTTGCTTGTTGTGTGTTTTTGTATACTTACAGCCCGTTGACTGTTCTTTAAACTTAGTAGCATGTAACTGTGAGAATTTGATAATAACTGTAGCATTTGCTGAATATCTTTAACTTTTCAAGTACAGATATTTTGGTGTTTCTCTATTCCAAGGACAGGATAACTGAGTAAAAGAAGTAGTTGGAGCAGTATTGTCAGAGGCACAAACAATCCCTTGTATTGAGTGTTGTTCCATTATTCCTTGATGTAGTAATGTGATTTCATATCATATTTCATAGTGATGCTTATATTAAAATATTTTTATGGGTTTAGGGTATACAATTCTCTTTTGGTGACTATTAGATTTTTTTGTTTTAATGCTTTCTTACCCAATTAGTTTTGCAAATAATTATGAAGGTTTTTTTTTTCAATACCAGTCAAACTAACCCATCTATCGATCCAACCATTTGTTCAATCATTTATTCACCCACTCAAATATTTATGGAATGATTGCTATAAATATTCTTTCATGGGTAACTGTTTCAGCCACAAAAACTGAGCACAGTTGGATTTGCTAAGGTTAAGAAACTGCTTTATGAGCTATGTTTCTGCATCTTCATAGAGTCCTACAGAGTAATTCTTCAGTATTAACAAATGCTGCCACATTATATGACCTTACTTACCTGCGTTTACCCAAGGTTAGCAGCGAGAACCCAACAGCTACCCCTTGAGACTGAGACCAGGTCTCCCATGCAGGAGAGCGAGCTGCAAGCTCAGCATCCCACACGGTTGTTCTCTCTCCGCCAGGGTCCCTGTGAGTCACGTGTGACTCAGTGGCAGTGGGTTTTGAGTAAAAATAGTTTGTTCTATAGATCCCATTGCACTCATTCCAAGTGATCTTTAATGTTTATCTTTAATGTACCATTACCTTTTAAAAGTAGCCCTTTGTGAATTTTCTATCATATAAAATTTAAGAAAACTTTCTCCACATTTGCAATGAATGCAAAAGATGTAAATGGTTTGACCAAGGGGGGAACAAGCTTTTTTTAAAAAGATTAGGAACAATGAGTTAGTAAAACTGTGACCTTTCTTTGTTTCGTATTTGCTCATACACCGTTTATAGGTACACTTGTTGTCAGAAAACATTTCTTAAATGTGTTCTTATTTTGTTTCAGCAGGAAAATTTAGTGAATGAAATAGACAAATAAGTATTGCTGCTATCATTTTAATCAAGAGCAATCCCCTAAAAAATACAGCCAATGGTCAATAAAGTGGCTCCATGGCCTTACGTGAAGTTAGTTTCCTAGAAGTGACACATATACACAGCATAATAAACATTTTGACTTCACAAAGCTATTTCACCTGTGTATGATAGCTACCAGGCATTATCATTTGTATGGCTTTAAACAATCAACTGTTGGTGTCCTGAGGCTATTTTCTATATGTTTCATTTTGTGAACTGGTATGCCTAGCTAATGATAAGATAGAAATATATTATAAAGGATCTTTGCTGCGTTCTCTATACCTACCTAGTATCAACAAATTGATGGCATATGTTGAAAGTGCATTTGTTGTTCGCAACAATGGAATTGTGTATTACAAGCAAGCAAGGATGTCAGGATAATGACCTTATTGGCAGCTGTCAAAAAGCTGCCCTGTTCTCTGAATTTCCTTGCGTGCCCTTCTTCCTAGGTGTTCCTTTGCCTTTGACTCACAGTTCTAGAGAAGGACACAAACAAAACTTATTTGCAATTTGCAAAAAAAATGGAAGGGAGGAATCAAAAGGAGGGGCTCCAAAAGGCTGTAAAATTGTACAGCATGAGTCCTCTGATGCATGCTGTTTTCAATCTGCTGTGTGCCAGTTGGAGGCTTGGGGAGTGTATGCGCGCGAGAGAAAGGATAATGCTGAGAAATGATAGAGTGGCTGTGACCTCCAAGCTCAGCCTGGAAATCCAAGACATTGATTTCACTTAGCATTCCTGCTGAGAAATCTGGCGGAGTTCAGTTGTAATAAAAGAACAAGATTCTGTTCTAATGGTAATGGCGTATGACAGACATATCACTTTGTCTGTCCTCAGCACCAGAGAGAAGAGAATTGGAGAAAGGTCACTTGACCTGCCTGTGCTGTTGTAAGAGTTCTGTACTGAGCTTTGAACTGCCCCCTAGGAACATACTTATTTATAATATTAAATGATAGAGAAACCTTTAGAGGACTCAACAGTGAACCGCTGAAAACCGCACAGAGGAATTGTGTTCTGTAAATGTGAAAATACGATGAGAACTCTGGTCTGTTCAAAGCCTCCATCAGTGAACCACAAGTAACAATGCTGTTGGGTTATATGTCCTTGAACTTACTGTTTGGTGACTGTTTGCATTAATGCCTGACATATAACCATTACTTAATTTCATCCTCCTTTTTTTTCCTAGAGTGTCTGGATTTTATTAGCTACAAGAATTTTTTTTTCCTTCTTTTGTTCTGTCTTGCCAAACCTCAATGATAGAGAATTGCACATTAGCTGTTTTATTTAAAGTTCCCAGGTGTTAACATAATTTTTCCCCTAAAAACATGTACATTTGTCTCTAACCATTATTAATTTTTTTGTGTTCCCTGGATTCTATTTTAGAATTTTGCTTTTCATTGATCATATAAAATATGTTTCGTTCTTTATAAGTATCCTTTTTTGCTCACAAGTGTGTCTTTACAGCTGAGTTTACAGCTAAATATTGGTAAACGACTTTGGGGGAAAGTCTGGAATCTTGAACTTTTAGTGTATGAGCGATCTTATTTAAAGGAAATCTTTAAAATAAATACTTCTTCTTACTAAAGAAAATTATGTTATTAAGTTACTCTTCAGCGATATAGGTTCTTGAAAGTCAGATATACTACTGATGTCTGGAATATGTCTAACACGTGTCTGAGACTATTTGTTTAACAGTTATTACTCTGGGAAACAATATATAACATATCCAAGTACTTTCCTTTCTGCAACCCATATACATTCTAATCTTTTAAGAATCTAGATCTCCCTTTCTTTGAGATCATACTTGATCTTGATGTATTTTGTTCTTTAGGGATAAGTTATGTTCCTGAAAGGGAAGAATCTATGCTGATACCTACAATAGTTGAGAAAGCAGAGTTTTTATTCGGTTTCCCACACTGCTCACGCAATTGTTGATGAGGGAGAGGATTTCATCTCATCAAGAAATCCTCAC